CAAACCTTCGATTCTCCCTAACCACAAATGATTTTGGAGAGTTCTGTGACATTTTGGAAAGCTTTTAACATGCACTACAATCCATATTTGAAATTCATTTTGAGATTCCAAGTGGAACTAAGAGAAAAATGGTCATGAAGATAGGTCAAAATTCTGCCTAAACTAGGGCAAAATTTCACTAAGTTAAAAGTTTCATGGACCCTTGTTCCAAATATAATAACTTGAGATCCAAGCTTATTTTGGGAAAACTTTGTGAATCAAAGTTGTAGATTTTGTGGAGGACTATAACTTTCATGTTGGAAGTTTTGTTTGAATCCAATTGCATCATGGTGAAAATGTTGGGCAAAGTTGGGAAAAAATAAGAAAATTTCATAACTTAGAAAAATTCTAAGTCATGAAATTTTTTCAATTTTAAACCCTAATTTGCAAAATTAGGTTTCTTGATGAACACGTTTCATGTTTTGACTCATATTGATGAAAAATGACCCTTGGCACTTGATTTTGACTAAAAAGTCAAATTTTGATCAGTTGACTGGAAAATTCATTTGTCAATCCAATGCAATTGAGATCTTTTGAACCTTGTGAATAGGTCAAGATGATGCCATTGAGTCCCTGAATCCATTCTTGTACCCAATTTGCCATTGGCTAGGTGAAAAATCAGAAATTGCCCTTCTGCAGTCAAAACCCTCAAAATGACCATTTTGCCCTTTTGATGATCTGATCAAATTTCTTGAGGAGTTGTGGTCCAAACTTGATCAAATGGTTCATATGAGTCTATAATGTTGACGTGGATAAAATGTTTTGAGGTTTGACTGTAAATTGGCCACAATTGACTTTTTCTCCAATACAGCTGATTTCTAGGTCAACTGTCCAATTGACTGGGCAAAAATTTGATTCAAAGCTTGAAACCTGGTAGAGGCAATCTTATAAGTCCAACATGAAGTATAAAAGTCACTTTGAGCATTGAAAGTCCAAAAACCCCTGTGCAAACTCAAACCCTAATTTAGGTCATTAGTGCAAGGAGATGCCTTGAGCAGAGCAAAACCCTAATCCTTGTCTTGATTTCAAAGAGTCTTGTGAGGAGAAATCTTGATAAAATGAGAGGGAAAATTTTGGGGTACAACAATTATATTTGTAATTGATTAATTGTGGTTTTTTCATTTTGTAGGATTCTCTAGTTCAAGAAGCTGAAAAAGGTGCAATTGTTCCGGATGGACGTAACGACATCTTAACATTAACCATTGGAACATCTGAGCATGGAGGTCGTGTTTGTGGTGTTGGAAAACACCATAAACAAAGCACTTACTTTGGAAGGTCACGTCAACATATTGACGTAAATGAACAACTTGCAACATTAGAAACAAAACTTAGAGCTGAACTTGAAGAAAAGTTGGTTGAAGAGCGTAAGATGTTTCAACAATCATTAATGGAGATACTTAAGTTTATGGGTTTATCACAAAGCACAGATGATATTAAATGCATTGAAAAATGGAAATTATCGATGGAAGCGGAAAAGGAAGTTGCTCAGATGCAAAAGGAAGCACAAAAGGAAGCACAAAAGATGTGGAAGTTGATGATGTTCAAAGATTGTTACTCATGGTTTTGAAAATGGATGATAACCATTTGGAAATACAATTAAGTCATTGTGCGAGTGTCTCTAATTTTTATATTTCAGCTAAGTGTATCAGAGAGTTATTGGTGAGTTTAGGTCATTGGCTTAACATGTCTATTCTGCAAATTTGGTGCACGTAAGTACATTTTATTGTTTTATTAAAGTCAATCTCTATTAATATGTTATATCTCTAATCACTTTGATTCTAATGTTTATTTTAAAATTATTCAGGTATATTTATCGTGTATGTCTTGAGAATTCCATTTCAGAATTATATGGATTTATGGATCCTGCTAGGTGTATTTATAATGATAATGGAGTGAAATCTTAAGAGGATGTTAAAAATTATATACTAGAAAAGTTACGTGATGAAAACAGAGTGTGCCACTTACTACCATTAATTCATGGGTAAGAATTTTTATGAAATTGTGTTTTATATTATTTAATTTTGATAACATATATATTTTATGTGACTTTTCTGTTTCCACACACACGTACAAGAGACATTGGTAATTAATAGTCATGTGTCCAAGAGACAATTTAGTTGTCGTATTTTGTTCACTTCATCGGGAAATTGACCAGAACACGAAGAAAATTATTACAAAGTAAGTTTATCTTTCATGTGACTTTCATTGACAACTAATAGTTATGTGATTTTTCATTGGCGAGTAAATTTAGTTATGTGATGTTTATCTTTCTGTATTAGTTCTTTTGGGATTCATCAAATGGCAAATGGAAATATAGAAAAAAGGCTACATGGCTTCATCCCAATGTAAGTGTGATGTAAATTGTAATTCTATAGTTAAATTTATGATAAATATTCACTAATTATGCCATTCAATTGTAGACAAGGCAACAATATAACTCTAATGATTATGGATACTATGTGATGAAAAATATGTTGGATATTGTCTCTGCTAGTATAACCGAGAATTGGATGCAGGTACTAAAAATAACTTTACTTTGATATTTACTTTTTGTTTTTCGACTTAATATGAATTTTTAAAGAATAACTCTATATTGTTATATTTATGTATTATAGGTATTTGATGACCCAACTGAATTAACACAAGATGATTTGCGACTCCGTTGGACAAAATGTTTCTTTGAGTTATATAAAAATTAAGTTTATCTGGTGAGTTTTATAGAATTGTCTAAGTTGTGGTTTTTGCACATAATTGTTATTATTGAGTTTTTGCACATTACATGTGGTTTTTGCACATGTATTGAGTTTCTTGATTTTTTTTGCTGATGTTAATTGTTATTATTTATTGTCAAACAATGTGATTTTGGTGTTGTCTACCGAAGCTATAACTCATCTACTTGTGGATTTTATATTGGTAATTCAAGTTTGGAAAAAGACTTATAAATAGTTGAATATTTTTGTATGTTTTGTGAAGAATATATATTTGTAAGTTTTTTGTGAGTTTGTTTGTTGTGATACAATACAAGTTTGCAATACAATTGTTCATTTTGTAAGTTTGTTGTGAAAAATATGAAAATATTGACCTAGATGTGGTCTATGTGATGTTGGAAAGCTATGAAATCTATATAGCGACATAAATATAGTCTGTGTGATATTAGAAAAATATGAAAAAATGGGTACCAATTTTTTTTTTACAGGGAAACATCCAGAAAATAAATTATTTATTCTGAAAAAATTTCTTACATTTTACATCGGTTATTACTCCCAACTGATGTAAAAACTTTCAAAACTGTATATATTACATCGGGCTTAGATGACAACCGATGTAAAAAAGGGACTTTTTACATCGGTCCACACGTTTAACCGATGTAAAATGTTGCGTCAATTTTTTTAAAATAATGTTATAAGTGTTTTTTATATCAGTCTTAGATCACAACCGATGTAAGAAATAGCCTTTTTACATCGGTCCGCACGTTTAACCAGTGTAAAATGTTGCGTCAATTTTTTTAAAATAATATTATAATTGTTTTTTACATCAGTCTTAGATCACAACCGATGTAAAAAGGGGACTTTTTACATCGGACCCAGAACCGATGTAAAAAGTTAGTTTAACCCGATGTAAAAAGTCATTTCTGCACTAGTGTTGTGACATGATTTTGGTGTTAGCGATGTGGGAGTCACGTGGCAACACACAACTTATTTTGTAGTGACTTTGTGTAGGAACTTTTTGTTTGAGCAACACACCTTTGTGGGAGACACACCACTTGTTCACCTAAAACCTTAAGGTGATATGTGAGTAAATTCTCTCACTTATAAATGCCCAAGTCACATTTTTATCTAATGTGAGACTATTTCCCTATATTACTCACACTTATATTATCTTTATGTGTATTTTAATTGATATTTTTTTAACAATAGTTTTTGTTAGCAATTAAATAAAACATATAAAAGAACTCATAGAAACATTATCATAAAAACTAACTTTATAATTACATTTAGAAAATTATAATAATGTTATATTGATAAAAACATTATTTGTTTGATTATGAATGATAGATATTGATTTTTTTTGGATTTAACCAATCAATTCCGATTGATAAAAGAAAAAAGAAACAATTCCGCTCCATAACTCTGTCTAAATCATATTAAATTCAATTACATGATTCTGAAATGAATTTAATATCTCTTTAATTAAAATTAAATCTTAGTACAATATTCATCTTTCTTAATCAATCACACTATTAAACTCCGGACCTTTGCTAATGGCGTCACTATGCTTCTTTGATCTATTACACTTCCTATTTTTATAATAATAAGATACTGGAAAGTAAGTTAGTGCTTTTGTAATCACAAATATGAGTGGAGTTGGATACAAATCTTCTGAACATAGTCTGAAAATTCAAAAAAAAAAGGATAATGTAATTAGAACTACAAGAGTTTAACTCATATTAAATTTTAAAAAAAAAACTCATTAAATATATATATATATATATATATATATATATATATATATATATATATATATATATATATATATATATATATATATATATATATATATATATATATATATATATATATATATATATATATATATATATATATATATATATATATATATATATATATATATATATATATATAATAATAATAATAAAAATTCAAGTAATCAATCATAAATATTTGATTAACCATCCTTAATACTTATAGTTTTCCTACCTTACCTTGTAGTTGTAGAAGGTGTGTACAACTTATAATTTTCTTGGTTTTCGTTCTGAATTTTTTCATCAATTATCTGTAAACAACAACGAAATTAGGGCATTTATATACCAAGAATTAAAAAGATAATTGATCATTTAAGAATTTCAAAATTACCTCATAAGTGAAATATGATTCAGAATGAAAAGAAATGTATTCTTTTTCTTTGATAGAAACATTCTCATTGTTGAAAGCATAGGGTTCTCAACTCCATGGAGTGAGGAATGAATCATCTTTTTCAAGAAAGGACAAGAATCTTGTATCAAATTTTGTTTCTTTAGTAACATCATCGTCACTAGTAACAACGGAATCACTTTCCTTATTAATAGTAACATCGTCATCACTAGTAACAATGAAATCACTTTCCTTATTAATAGTATCATCATCATCACCAGTAACAACATAATCACTTTCCTTATTAATAGTAACATCATCATCACTAGTAATAATGGAATCACTTTCCTTATTAATAGTATCATCATCATCACTAGTAACAATGGAATCACTTTTCTTATTAATAGTATCATCATCACTAGTTATCACGGTATCAATAAAATCACTTTTTTTCCTTTGTAAAATATCCGTACTTCAAAATTCTTGATAGGGCAAAAGACCAAATACTAAGTTTTATTTGATGGAATGAAATTAAGGAACAATATTTATAACTATGTTAGTACAATTTTAAAAACGGTTAAGATAATAATTTAAGGGACATGTGGCACATTAAGATATGATTTTAAATTCTCATTCAATTATCTTCTTTTTTTTTTCTTTTCTATTCCTATTAATATGGTATATTTAAAAATAAAACAAATATTGCAAACAAACAATAAATGCTTCAATTTTCATGATTGTTTTTTTCGTCTATTTCCTAATAATATGGGATTATATATTTGTAAAATAAAACACTATACCATTAAAGAAGGTGTTATTAAACTTGTTTGTGTAAAAAAAAACATAATCATTTGAGTAAAAAACTTTTATATATTATCCAAAAAATGTTATATAATATTTCAAATATATATATATATATATATATATATATATATATATATATATATATATATATATATATATATATATATATATATATATATATATATATATATATATATATATATATATATATATATATATATATATATATATATATATATATATATATATATATATATATATATATATATATATATATATATATATATATATATATATATATATATATATGAAAAAAATAATTTTTATATTTTTATTTGTTAGTTTATATAAAATAATTCTGCCAAATTCTATAAAAACAATATTTAAAAGTTAGCCTAAAAAGTGATTCCCTAACATTTTGGATGATAGAACACTACTAGAAATATTAATAGTGTAGACGCATTTGGTCAATTAATTCTGTCAAACCCACTCAAAAAAATCGAGTAGAGTCATATGCGTATAAAAATTAAAAAATTAGGTTTCGGGTAAAATCAGATTAAAACTCAAAAAAATCCATAGACCAGTAATCAAACATTTATTATTATAATTTTAATAATTTTGATGTATATTATTTTAGTTGTTATAATTTTAGTCTCTTGAACATTTATTATTTTAATTAATCATGACTTTAATTAATTTTAGATGATTATTTTGATGGTAATACAATTTTATGTCATGCAATTTAATTTTTTGCTATTATTTTATGATAATTTTTATTAGTTGATGATGTTATTATTTATTATTTTATTATGCTAAAATAATAATAATAATAATAATAATAATAATAATAATAATAATAATAATAATAATAATAATAATAATAATAATAATAATAATAATAATAATAATAATAATAATAATAATAATAATAATAATAATAATAATAATAATAATAATAATAGATTATCTAATTTTTTTAAGAAGATGGAAATGTTGAATTATCTTTATGAAAAAATATGACGACTCATCATTTAGTCATTTTAATATTAATAAAACAGAAAAATTATTTTGGCAATTCACTATTCAATCCAATCCAACTCAATCCAAAAATTAGTGTATTTGCTCAAACGGTCCCATTGTTGTATCAGATGATTATTTTACTTCACTCAAACCGGAGTGTCATATATGGATTGAGTATTAGATTTGGGCAAACTCAACCCAAACTGGTCCACATACACCCAAAAAAAATATGGGGATTATTTTTTCTATCCTTAGGGGTGATCCCCCACCAACGTGAAAAGTTACAACTGTAACACCCCAAAATAATTAGATTATTTATTTAATTATTTAATTATGAATATTGTGTGTATTTGCGATGTATCTATGAGTATATGTGATGTTTTGATGTATGTGAAGTGATATTGGGTGTTTTAGTAATTTTATATCATTAGCTTCAATTATTTAGAATTATTAATAATTAAATAAATAAAATAATAAGAGGTAGAGACTATGAGGACAAGGTAGTAATATTGTGAAGTAAGTTAGGGTAAGATGGGAAGACCATAGAAAGGGTCCAAGGGTTAAACTAGGAAAAAGAGTGACAATGTTCATCATGTGCAATCGTGAAAGTGAGAAGAACGTTGTGAAAAGAGCTAAGGGACTGAGGAACTCAAAAGGTTCTATAGAACGCAAAGAGAAAAAGATTGTTGCTAGGAATCTAAGGTAAGGGGAGTTTATCATTGTTATTATAATTGATTTAGGGTTTAGATAATTGTAGGTTTATGTTGGGGTTTTCGTTGATGATTTGATGAGAATTGATGAAATTGTGATGTTGTTTTACCATGAATTGGTGTATATGATGTATATTAGAATTTATTGTTAATATATGATGAAACTATGTGAAGTTATGATGATTTAGAAACTGTATTGTATTGGATTCGTGTAGAATAGGGACTGGTTTGGTGCTGTAAAATGCAATAGAGAACCTATGTTTGCGAAGACTCGTCGGGCGAGCCTTAAGCTTCGTCGGGTGAATGAACTTGCTCGTGATGCGCCAGGAGAGAGCGAGGTGTGAGAAAGTTGAGTTTGGAAGAGCCCCTGAAACTTTGTATGAAAGTGTGTGACTTTCCCCTGCTTCTTCGTGCGAAGTGGGAGCAAGGGTAGCTCGTCGGGCAAGCTACATGCTTTGCCGGACAAGGATGGCTGAAGAAAAATATTGCTCCTGGAATTTGTATGGGGGAAGGTATTTCGCCCCATCTTCGCCAAGCGAGCCTCAGGAGAGCAACATTCTTTGCCGGGTGAGGGACATATGTAGAATCTTGAAAGTGTCGTAACTTGAGTTTCAGGACTCAGTTTGATGTATCGTTCGAAATATTTGATAGCTAACGTAATGAACTATAATTAGGGGAAATAAAATTAGTAATAATATGTAGAATTATAGTACCTGTTCTATGATGAAATTATACTTCTCAGTGATGGACTACAATGGTGTGTGTTGTTTGATGAGTTGTTGATACTATGATGATACTATGTTGTTGCTATGTTGATATGATGATGTTGTGATGATGCCATATATATATATATATATATATATATATATATATATATATATATATATATATATATATATGATGTATGTGATGAACTTATTATGATTACATGAATAAATGATGCGTTTTAACTAGCCGTGGTCGTGTTTATTATGTTGTTGCATATTATGCATTCATGACATATATTAGGATTTTGGTCCAGTGATGTTGTTAGGACAATTGGTCCAGTGATGAAGATATGATGATAGTCCAGTGATGACCTCAATCTCATAGTGTGGATTGAGTTTAATATTATGACGTGCTTTGGTTGCAAGCGGGAATCGATCATGTTGTTGAGAATCTTTGGAGAAACAATGACTAAGTCATCAATGAAGTTTCGGTACCACATGCTTAAGTCTAATGAAGTTGCATTATATTGCATTATGGTTGATTAAGTGATGCTTTGTGAATATATGAATTAATTATATCTTGGTGCTGATTGTTGGTTGATGATATGATGATGCTATGAATAAATGATGAACTGGAGGTGTGAGTATAACATGAATTTTTTATGGTGTGTGGTGTTTTTCTATTGTGTTGTAACTACTATATCTATTCTTTATGTCTTTTATAATGATGAATAATAATAAAAGAGATCGAAAGGTTTGTACGATCCTGATGGAGCACATACTTGGCTCAAAGGGATCGAAATGATCTTTCGGGTCATGGATTTCTCAGAAGCACAAAATGTGTGGTTTGGTATGCATATGCTGGTAAAGGAAGCCGGTGACTGGTGGGTCGGAACCCGATAAAGAATGACAGTGGAAGGTGAAGTTATCACTTGGGCTGTGCTGAACAGGGAGTTTCTGAGGAAGTACTTTCCAGAGCATGTGTGAGGGAAGAAAGAGATTGATTTTCTAGAGTTAAAACAAGGGAATTTAACTATGATTGAGTATGCTTCGAGGTTTGTAGAACTGGCAAAGTATTATCCACACTACAGTAAAGAGTCTAATGAGTTCTCGAAGTGTATCAAGTTTGAGAATGGTTTGTGTCCAGAGATCAAATGGACAATTTGATATCAATAGATCTGTAGGTTTCCATATTTGGTGAACAACTGTAGGATCTATGAAGAAGATAGCAAAGCTCATTTAGCTCACTACAAGAGTCTGAATGAGAAAAGAGGAAAACCATATCAAGATCATAAAAAGCCTTATGATGCTCCAGGTGATAAAGGGAAACAGAAGGTTTCCAATGGGAAGAAGATAAGTGGGGGATGAGCTCTCACTCTTGTCAAGTGTTATAGGTGTGGTAAACCAGGTCACTGTTCCAATGAATGTGAGAATAAGGTTCTAATATGTTACAAATGTGGTAAGACGGGTCATCATGCTCCTGAATACAAGAATGATGGTCCAACCTCTTTCAATTGTAGAGAGCAGGGTTAGATCAGTACCCAGTGTCAGAGGCCGAGGAAGGACACTGCTTCCCAGACTAATGGTATAGTGTTTGCTCTAAGTGGATCAGAGGATTCCAAGAAGTATAACTTGATTCAAGGTACTTGTTTATTAACGATGTTGAATTGGTTGCTATTATTGATATTGGTGCTCCTCATTTGTTTATTTCACGTGAATGTGCAAACATGTTGGGATTGAAGTTGTATGATATGAATGGTAGTATGTGTAGAAGTAGAAATGTTGAGACTAATCCATTGGATTGACTTAACTCGCACAAATCAAATAAAGATCGCCATCGCGCTTTATTGTTTCCAGAGGAATGAAAAAAGAGTGAATAACCCAAAAAGAGGGGGAAAGAATCTAGGTACAAGGGTTGGTTATACAAAAGGAAGATATTAGCACCCTAAGCATCTAAGGTACTTCGCATGAACCTCTTTGAAAATTTGTGTATTTTGGTTATATGTGTTGTATACAAAAATAAATGGTGGAGATAAGAAAAGAAGTATTTTTTACAATTTTTGCACCCGCCGCGGTTGAGAATCTTTAGTGCCTACGTACCACCTTCCTTGCAATAGAGGATCAGGGTACTCGTAGTTCACCTTTAAAAAATTTAAAATCAAGTGTGTTGGTTAATTTTAAGAGAAGAGACATCATCGTCATATCCGAGTGGAAAATAATACTTACTACCCACGATTATGAGAAAGGAGAATTTGCATCATCTCAAAGTGGAGGATATAGCTTGGATTTTAAAATTAACAAATCCTCACTCAACACCCAAGTGGAAAATATCTCACTTCACTACATATCGTAGAAGTATAGTAGCTCGCATCACTACAAGGATCAACAAGAGTCTAATCTTTTGAGAAAAATTTTAAATTAAAAAGCCAAAGGGGAAAAATGGTTTGAATGAGGTTGATTGACTTTAGTCTTCTCACAAAAAAATGTCAAAGTATGATTAAGTTGGTTAAATTTTAACTAAGAAAATATTTTTGAAAATGCATGGACCTATGTCCAAGTTTA